TTTTTTTTTTTTTTTTTTTTTTTTTTTTTTTTTTTTTTTTTTTTTTTTTTTTTTTTTTTTTTTTTTTTTTTTTTGCCGAGCGCGAAGTTATCGGCAAAAACGTGTAATGTGTCATTTCAGGTGCGGATACACAGAGGGACTTTTCATTCTCAGGCGATGGAGGTGCATCAATATTAAATGTACCACTGAAAAAAAAATTTTTTTCCAGTCAGACCGCCATATTCAAATGGGTGTCCACCTGATAGGAAATACAGTGTTCGCATGAGAGTCCATAAAATTTGACTTTTGAAATACTCACAATATACCGTAATGATTAGATCTAGTGTTCGAGAACTTGTATTATTCTTATCGCCTCATCTTTCTCGATTATTTTGTCACGCATTTATGTTACAGAGGCTTGACAGCGATACCAGTTCCGCAGTGAAAATTCATTTTATTGTCTACAATTAACTTGTAATTTCATTAAATGAAGATCTTTACGTTTGAGGATATCTTTACAGCTAAAAGGCAAATCTATCAAATAAGACACACACGCAACAAAATCACTTGCGCCACTATTCACTTGCACTCGTAGGTCTCGAACGCTCAGTCGCCCCTAGCTGGCTTTTGTTCTTTGCTCACTTAAACTAGTTGTAGTTATTTTCAGCACTAACTACGCTTTTGCAAGGTGCCTTACTTGCTATCAAGTCAAGTGGGTAAATGTGGTAATACTTATGTGAGTGTCAATGAGGGCTACCTTCCATGGTTGACGCGTACGGTTTTATGGCTTTTCGACGGTTGATTTGTTGGCCATTTAACGTTTGACGGATAACCCAGTTACACCATTGAGACCCTCCTAAGAGGCACACAAAAATATTAGCTACTTTACCGCGGACTGTGGGACAATGGAGTAGTTAATTTTACGAGTTTAAACCACGATCAGGCGTTCTTTTGTCTTTTGCCGCTGCAAAATACCACTGACCTGATCGCAGGTAATTTGCAGTTCTTCACAGTGGCTCATATTTGACAGTCATGGAACCGTACCGCCATAGATTGATACGCTGCTGCAATATACTATATCCAAAACCCAGTAGAAAACTTTTTCATAATCCGAGGAATAATTGTCAGTTTTCTTTAAATATTAACTTGGTTTGTATGAGATGGTTGCTTGTTACATTATTTACATTAATTCTTTTTTTTTTTTTTTTTTTTTCACGTGTTCAAAGTTTTCAGGCGTGAAACAAGCTGTTTTAAACATGCCGGGCAAGCCAGG